GGTTTTATTATTGACTACAGCGTAGACAAACCTAGAAATATTCCTTAAAGAGTTGGGCTTTGCCAAAGTATATTATGCAGCTCTTAATTTAGTGCAGAAAGTTCTGCTTAGTGCCAGCGAGCTACTCTTGATCAAAGTCATTAGTCACTTGATTTGGACTCTTTGCTGCTGAATAATTGAGGCTGTGAGAGGATAAAGGATTTGACTATGCTGGCTGACTAGTTAAGAGAAATAAAGAGAACTCCCCTCTCTGAGAGGGATGGGGGAGTAAATGAGAAGGAGGGAGGCTGATTTATGCTTTGTCTGCTCATAGCTCCGTCCAGCTCAGGACTGATGAAACATTTAACACTATCCTATCTGTGAAACCACCTCCCACGTCTGGGGAGCAAAGTTCCCTCGCTGTGGACAACTTCCAGCTCGTCTCGCGGCCATTTCCAGGTTTTTTCCTCTGACCGGCGGCGCTGCTGGCACAAAGAGTCTCGGTTCTGTACAGCTCAGCCCGCGAGCATATATCAAAAAGATAATCGAGGTGTGATTTATGCGCTCTGAGATGATGTAATGTGCAATAATAAGTCCCGTCTTTGTATTTGTTTTCATCTAATGTCTGCTGCTGCTGATTTATACCTGCAATTCATCTGCTGCCGGTGGAAGAGCCAGAACATTAAAACGCTGACAGGTGAGGTGAAGAACATTGATTACCTGGTTACCATGGCACCGGGCAGTGGGCGGGACCTATCAGGTGAACAGTCAGCTCTAGTGTTGGAAGCTGGAAAGATGTCAGCCTGAGCATCTGAGAGTCAGACTGTGATGGGAGGTGGATGGATCAGAACATCTTGAAACCTGCAGGAGTCGTTGGGTGTTACTGGTGTGTGTTGAAGGAGGGACAACTGGTGAACCAGTGACAGGTCTTGGGCAGGAAGCTGTGGATTGTCTTAGGGCACTCTGAACCGTTGGGCATGCTCTAACTGCCTCCGTAGAGTTTCTTTAAGGTTGTTTTTAGGAAGCATCTCCAAAACTTCAGGTGTTGTGGGCTGTTGCTGGTGTGCAGTGGTTACCAGCACAGTGTTGGTTTTAATGTTGTGGCAGACTGATGTAAACTCGTTCTTTATATTCAAAAGAGACCGACTAGTTTAAAACTAGTTTCTTGTGAGAAAGGCTGGCGAGATTTAATTTTCATAAACACCGTGACCATTGGAACACAAGCAGCAGCTCTACATCTGCTGACTGATGGGATTTTCTGGCGAAACGTGTTGGATGCAGCAGAGTTAATATGCTAAATGCTAAATCCTGTGCTGCCTGCTGAGACGCCGGCATGCGCTCCTGCATCCATCACGCTGCACGTCACCGCTGCAGCCAACGCCGGCGCTGTTTGTTCTGAGCTGTTATCACCTCCACGATAAACGAGGAGTTATATTTAAACGTGAACATACGTCTAAATATCGATTACAGTCGGGTGCATCGAGGCCTCGCAGCAGACAAGTCTGCACGATGAGAACAGAAGTGTTTCTGAGAGTCAGAGATGGAGGGAAACACCTCGGCCAGCTCCTGTGTTTGTCAGTGTTGACGTGGTGAACAGACAGAAGTCAGGATGTGTGTGTAGCTGCTGTGCAGGCCTGTCCTCAGAGGGATTCAGCTGTAAGCTTGAAAAGTGTCTGAAGAATCTTTCTCACCTCTGTGCACTCGGCCAGCGGCTGCGTGAAGCCTATTCTGGAAAGATGCTGATCTCCCAAAGCTCCCAGTGAGTCTGGCAGCGCCTCACTGCAGCATTGTGTTATAAGACTGGAAATGTGTTGCAGCAGACTTGTTTCTTTGGAGAGAACCTTCAGAGTCGGAGTGATGAGAATGAATCAGCCTGTCCAGGACCAACGTCACCGGCTGCTGCTTCAACTCTGGGATGAGAGGAAGCTTCAGGGAGTTCTGGTTCTGACCGGTTCAATTCAGGAAAAAT